ACATCCCAAATGGGGGTAGAAAGGGCTCCCCAAACCCAGACATCCCAAATGGGGGTGGAAAGGGCTCCCCAAACCCAGACATCCCAAATGGGGGTGGAAATGACTATGCCTCTCTCCTACTCCTGCCCCTGGGCCTTCCAGAATGTAAATGCTGAGTCCTGCTGTGGGTGCCCTTTGGGGGAGGGAGGCCTGGGAGGAGGATGGGGGTGCAGGAATTAGCCTTCAGAAGGAACCTGCCTGACCTAATTTCTCATTACCCGGAGGGCTGGACTTTGTCTTCTGTCTGGGCCCGGTTACTTGAAATGGGGGAGGGTTGGCTGAGCATCCTCCCAGCCCCCAGCCCCCTGCCCACTCTGACTTTGGAATCAGTAATCATAGTTTCTCCTCTGCCAGTCCTTCGGTGGGTGACTCACCAGCTCCTCCCCTTACACCCTTTCTGGCCCTCCGAGGTGTCATCTCACCCCAGACTGAACCATCCACCTCCTCGCTCTACCCACTCCTGGGGCTCCCATTACCATGACGACGGCCAACTAATTGCCACCCTTATCCTGCTCAAGTTCAGCCTGCAGTGCCAACACCCCACCCCCACCCTGGGCCTGAGGGCGGAAGGCCCAGGGGCGTGCTGGGGTCCCTTGAGCCCACTGCTGTAGCCTTAACATCCTCAGCGCCCAGGTCCCGAGTTTAACCCTCACAGACTTTCCCTTCTAACCCCTGGTGAAGTTTTGGTCTCTGGGCCCCGGGAAGAGGGGGCAGGAGCAGGAGCTAGAGGCTCTTGTTTGCCATGGGGACCTGCTTTGGAGAGAAAACAGAGGGCCTTTCCTGGGCGCTACCAAACATTTCTAATTCAGGGGGCTCAAGAGACCAAGATTTCTACCTGGCCCCTGCATCCCGCTGTGCGACCCCATCCCCAGGCCAGCCCTCATCTCCTCCCCACACCGCTCCCTCCGCGGTCCTCCCTCCTCCCCTGGCCATTCTCTTAACCCCGGCTCTGTCTCCCTCACCCCACTCCTCTGTCGCCCTGCACCCTGTCCCCCTTGCACCGCTGCGCTGCGGGCCGGAGTTGAGGAGTGTGTGTTCTGTTTCTCCCCTGTGCCCGCCCTCCCCTCCCCCTCCCACGACCAGGAGAGGGCGGAGCTGGCCGCGGGACGGAGGCACCTGGACGCCCGCCAGGCGCTCTACGCCGAGCTCCAGACGCAGCTCGATAACTGCCCCGAATCAGTGCGGGAACAGTTACAGGAGCAGCTGAGAAGGGTCAGTTCTACCAGCCCCCCTCCCCGGCCCGAGGGCCACCGCCCGGAAGGAAGACAGGAGAGCGGTGGGACGGGCCACCTGGGCCCTGCAGCACCTGCTGGACACCAGGGTCGGTGCTGTGGCTCGGAGGGGACAGGGAAGGATTGGGGGGGTTATTGCCTTTTGCTACCCCAGGCGGCGATGCCCAGGAGAGGGGCAAAGCCTGGCAGAGAGAGGAAAGGGGGTTGGATGGGGCCGCTCCCTCCCCCAGTTTCCCAGGGTCCAGCCCCCAGAATACACCTCTCTGGCCTGGACTCGTAGGCCCGGTGCGAGTGGGCGCACCCCCCAATCCTCCCTGTCACTGTCATTCAAGGAGGCAGAGGCCCTGGAAACCGAGACCAAACTCTTTGAGGACCTGGAGTTCCAGCAGCTGGAGCAGGAGAGCCGCGCCGAGGAGGAGCGGGAGCTGGCCGGCCAGGGGCTGCTCCGGAGCCAGGCCGAGCTGCTCCGGAGCATCGCCAAGAGGAAGGTGTGCCCCTGGGGACTCAGTCCCTCAGTCCCGGCTGGGGGCCAGGCCAGGGTGTGGGGTCGATCTCCCCACTGGCAGCCTCCTTGATGTCGTAGGTGAACCTTGAGGTTCGGCGTCGTGAGCCTCAGTTTCCTCAGTGTAAAATGACAACAGTCACGGGCTAATGTGAGAATTAAGCACGATGATGCAAGGGAAGACAGCACAGGATATGAGCATAGGTAGCAGTGAGCACGCAGCAGCTGACACCATGAAGCCCTTACTCCCCTGAGTCTCCCAGTGCATTGTGCTTTGGGCTCACTGTGGAGCTGGGCGCCGGCTGGGCAGGAAGTGAAAGAGCCGGAGAGGGCTGGAGAGGGGGCTTCCCCGTCCTTGCACAGCTCCCTGCCTGCGGAAGTCCTGGGACATGCCCAGAGAGACCCGAGATCTGGATATTAGAGCCAGCGGGTGCTTGCAAGGACATCAGCTGGGTTTTACCCTTGGCTCAGCGCTGGCTGGGCTTAGCCCCGAAATAACGGGACTGTGTCTGGCCAGCTCTGGAGGGCCAGAAGCTGTGGTTGTCTGCTCTGGACCCCAGCCAGACCAGAACAGGGCATGAGACAGGTGTGTGTGTGTGTAACGCTGGGAGCAGGTGTGCCCTCAGCCAGGGTTAGGATGATGCCGGGGAGGCCGGCCCAGGTGGCCGTACCTGACTGACACTGGGTGACGGTGACACGTGCATGTGGGCACAGCTTGCAGGTGGCGTGAGTAGTTGGGAGGCGACAGCAGCGAGATTGGGGGAGGTGGTGAGCTGGGGGCTGAGGGCGACCCTGAATTTGGGAGCGAGGGGCTGCTCCATCTCCCCCTGACGCTCGGATCCTTGCTTCTCTCCCCGAGCTGCTCTGCCTTACAGACGTACCCACTTGCAGACATGAGGCCGGTGAAGGGAAGGAAGAAAGCTAGTACTTTTGTGTGGTCCTGATGATGACCACCCGAGACCACGTTCTTGCCCCCATTTTATAAATGTGAAAACCTACCAGCGTGTAAACTGAGGCAGAACTGGAACTCAGGCCTCCCAGGCCTCCGCTGTGCTGTGCGCAGACCTGCCTCTTCTCCAGCCTCTTCCTCTTTGCAGCAGGGAACCTTAGGTCAGCTGTGCCGTCCCTTTGAGGCCGGTCCCTGTGGGAGCTGGGAGAAGGCCTAGAAAACTCGAGCTCAGCCCCTGGGACCTGCGGTGACATTCTTCTCCTTGCTTCTCATGAGCCTTGCTCAGCTTCCATCCCAGGCTTCCGGGGCCCACACATGCCCGATGTCTGCTGTGGTGGCCGGTGCCCTGTCCGTTCCTCTTTGATTCGGAGTAACAGCATTGGAATCCCACAGATCTGGTTCTGATGTAGCCCTTCCACTTACTAGCTGAGACACTTCCGTTCCTAAACATGGCAGAGTTCTTATCACTAAAATGAGCCTAAAGGCCTCTGCTTCGTAAGGGAGTTAAATGACATAACGAATTCAAAGTGTTTTGCAGTTTCTGGCTCCTAACAGGTTCTCAGTAAACAGCAGCACTTTTTTTAAGATTTATTTTTATTTATGCATATAAGAACTGCAGTGTAGGCCAGAGGTATGGGGGCGGGGGTGAGAGGATTCACTGGAGACAGAGTGGGGAGCAGAACAGGCGGATCTACTGAAATACACCGCTGAGGGGGCAAGAAAGGAGAAGCCTGCTGCACCATGTGGGTCAGCTCCCTGGCTGGGGACTAAACTCAGGGCACAGTGGCTGCCCCTGCCCATAGCTTGGTGGCGCTGAGACTTTAACCCCTGTGCCACCAGGGAGGCCCTAAACAGCAGCTCTTACTGTGAGGACTGCTCCCTGGCCTTTTTCCTTTGCTTGGGCTGACCCCAGATTAAAGACAACTGCCCCTTTCACTCTTTCCTCTCTAATGTAGTGCTCTTAAGGTCATCTCTTCAGAAGCCCTCTTAGGGTCAGTCCAGCCAGTGCCCTGTTTCCTCATTGTTGGCTCCCTTTTCGTGTATGACCATTGAGCCAGGCACTGTGCTCACACTGGGGATGTGGCGACACAAAGACCCTGACACAAAGACCCTCGCAAGGACTGCCCTCGGGTAGGAGCCTGGGTGGAGGGTGCTGACAAGACAGATTCACAAGTGATAATGCGAGCAGAGTGGTGAGACAAAGGAAGGAGCAGAGAAATGGAGTGGTGATCAGGAAAAGCGCTGGCAGGCAGATGGCTTTCGGTCTGGCCTTGGGGGTGTCCTGAGCTCTTGGTGGTGACAGGGCACTCTGCTGGGCTGTGCAGAGTGAGGACGCTCGCGCCGGGCAGGAGCTGTCTGTACCAGCCGTGAGCGAGGGGGCTTGGGTGGGAGGCCGCTGGGCAGCAGAGGCCCAGTGTGGGAGCCCTGGAATCCAGCTAAGTTTGTGCTTATCCTAGGAGTAATGATAAACCACTAACAACTGGGGGATGAAGAGTGATCTAACCTTACTTGTGGATTTTAAAAAACTTGTTTGAGTTATATATGTAGGTGTGTGTACATATGTATGCGTGGATGTAATATGCTCGGGTTATATATGTATGTGCACATACATGTATGTACGCACACACATAATCCGAACACATGACACGTCACCATATACATACATGTGTACATGTATACATACATGTGTATACATGTGTATACATACACATGTATATGTATACACACATATATACATGTACATATGTATACATATACATGTATGTATATGTATATACATACATTTGTGTGTATATACACACATATACACACATACATACATATATATTTGAGATTTATTTATGCATGCATACAAGAGCTGGGGTGTAGGCCAGAAGTGGGGGGGGTGAGAGGATTCACCAGAGAGTGGGGGCAGAACAGGTGAATCTACTGAAACACACTGCTGAGGGGAGCAGCGGGCGAGACAGGAGAGATCTGCTGCATCTTGGGGGTCAGCCCCTGGCCGGGGATTGAACTCGTAGTGCAGTGGCTGCCGATAGCTTCATGGTGCTGGGACTTACCCCTTGTGTAACCTGGGAGGCCCAGTAATATATATTATCTTCAGGAAGCTTAGAAAATTCAGATAAGCAAGCAAACAAAACAACCCTCAAAGGGCATCTTAGGAAGATTCTGTGGCGGTGTGGAGTGGGTGGTGAAAATGCCCAGTGTGGGGAGGGATGGCCTGGAGGGGTGGCAGGTAGAGGACTGCTCAGTGTCCACAGGACTTTGGGGATGTTGACCTGGAGGAAAGGATGGGGGGAAAGAAGGGGTGGGGGGTTCTGGTAGCACAGGGCTCACTGGTCCTGCGTGGGCTGAGGGAAGAGGCTGAGCAGAGCAGCTGGAGTTTTCCAGGGGTGAGCTGAGGCCAAGCAGAAAAGCCGGTTGATTCCTTTTACCCAAGCCCAGGGTTTCTGGGCAGGAAAGACAGCTGAGCCTCCCCTTGGGCTCAGCCCTGTCACCCAGAGCCTGACAAGCTACCCTCTCCTCCAGGAGCGCCTGGCAGTCCTGGATAGCCAGGCTGGACAGATCCGGGCTCAAGCTGTGCAAGAGTCAGAGCGCCTGGCCCGGGACAAGAATGCCTCGCTGCAGCTGCTGCAGAAGGTAGCCCCAGTGGGCTGGGGGTGCAGTCGGGGGGTGTGGGCGGTGAGCACAGAGGTCGGGACAGAGGTTTGCTAGCCTGTGGTCACCTCCTCTGTTGTCACTCCCACTCCTCTCTGAGATTCTGCCACTTGGGACTTAACAGGAGAAGGAGAGACTGACTGTGTTGGAAAGAAGGTATCACTCACTCACAGGGGGCAGGCCCTTCCCGAAGACCACATCGACCCTCAAAGAGGTAAGGAGGTTGGGCCAGTCCCAGCTTCGGTCCCAAGCGGTCTCCTGAGAGGTTCTGATGCAACATGTGGTATCTTCACACCGTGACCAAGGTTGAGTGTGGGGACATTTTCCGGAACTGGAGAGATCTGAGTGGGAATGGCTAAGGTCTGCGGTTGGGCCTTCTCTGGCCATCAGTTGCGTCTTTTCAACTACCTTTCTGGTCATTGAACCAGGGGTTCACTTGGGGTGACAGATACATCTGGGGGATTCAGGATGCATGGGTGAAGAGGATAGTTTAGGATTGATAAGGGGCGGGGCTGGTGGTTCAATTCGCCAAGCGGGTCCCGGGGTGCTGCTCCTTGAGTTCCTTTGGCTTCCACCTACCGCTGGTGTCTTGATTCAGAAGCAGGTGTTGAGACACCCTAAGCTGCTCTGTACTGAGTTTCCGTGCCTGGTGTGTGAGGTCTAACCAGGACAGGCCCAGTTGAGCTCTTTCCCTTACCTCCTACCTCCCTGCGCAAGCAATTTAGGCCTGGGTTGAGGCAGTAGCCCAGTGTGAAGGTTGGGACCCCTCACTGCCTACCCTTCCTGTAGGCTGAACTGCTCATCTCCAAGTCCTCCGAGCTGGGACTGGGGCCTGCGGCTCTGGGCCCATTTCCAGGGTCTTCTCAGCCTGCAGCCTCCTCTGTCCCTTTAACCCCACCTGCTTCCACTGAGCTCTGCCCCAAAGAACAAGAGGTAATCACAGCTGAATGCCTGCGCTCTGTGCCCACTGCCGCCTGCCTGCCTGCCTGCTTGCTGACCCCTCCCTACAGTTCTTGCAAGAGCCCAGCTGAGGGCATGTGGCAGTAATCCTTTGGCTGGATTTTGCCAGAGCTTGAGTGAGAGTGCCATCCTGCTGGTCCTCGACTGGGCAGATCATGCAGTCATGCAAATCAGACCGGATTATGCAGTCACGCAGCACATGCAAATCAGAGCAGATTATGTAAATCAGACCAAGTCATGTAGGCATTCAGATCACAAATCAGATTGGGGCATGCAGTTATGCAGATTATGCAAAAACAGACCAGATTATGCAGTTATGCAGATTATACAAAACAGACCAGATTATGCAGTCATGCAGATCATGCAAATTAGACTCTCAATTTGCGCAGCTCCCCTAGGGGTTCATCAGTTCTCACAGCATGCTGAGCCCCCAGGCTCACTTTCCTTTTCTGTGAGCCCAGTAAGGTCTCTAGAGTTAATGCCAGTACCGGCTATCCCTGGAGAGTGCAGTCTGAGTCCTGTACTTTGACTCAGGGCGCACTTTGGATGCCCCCAAACCTAGATAAAGTCTAGGTAGAAGGCTTGCTCCAGGGGTTTGTGAGCTCGCAGCGCTCCAGCCTGTGTGGAGCACCCCCCTGTTTTCCCACATGGCCTTCTTTGGTGCTCTCTGCTTCTGGCCTTTCTCAGAGCCCAGCTTGCCCCTACTGTGACGGTGTCTGCCCCATCCTGTTCTAGCTCCTGTCCCAGCAGCTGAGGTTCACGGGCCCTTGAGGATGGAGTGACTGCTTGATGCTGCATGTGTGTGCCCCAGTGGGGATGCCTGAGGTGTAGGAGCAAAGGGTCCTCTGGGAGCCGGTTTCTGGGGTGGGCTCTTGGACGACCCTAGGCTTTTCTGCCTGCCCCTAGCCCGGGGCACCCCCAGGGAGGGGCCTTCAGGCAGCTCAGACCGGGTCTGCCTGTCCTTTCCCGCCCACCGTCCTCTGCACAGCTGCCCGCAGTCACAGTGGGCTGCTCTCGGCCAGAGCCCGTACGGAGGGACGGCCCGCGGCACAGAGTGTGGGTGACCGTGCCCGGTGGAAGCCTGTTGACCTCTGCCCATCCCTCCCCACCCACTGGGTCCCCTAGGAGTATGTGAGCCTGGCAGAGGTGCTCCAGCTGTGCGCCTGCTCGGACCCCCGTGCTTCTGCCGCTTCCCCCAGCGTGCCAGCCCTTGCCCGGCAGTGAGGTGCCAGCCACGGAGCGAGCCCCCTCCTGCCTCAGTGGATGCCCTAGATTGCTCCTCAGTCCGGAGGGGGTGGGGGTGGGGCAGCAGGCTGTGTCTTCAGCAGTGAGGGAGAAGGGCAGCTGACATAAGGGGTTTCCAGAGTGTCGGCCCTGCTTCCCTGAGCCTTCTCCAGCCCGAATTCTCAAAGAGGGCCAGGCCTCTGCTCCGGCTGAGGGTGAGGCGCCCAGAGACTGGCTTTCGGGCTCTGCAGCCGCCTCTGCCCTGTGCTTCTGCCCGAGGCAGGGCCACCGTGGGTTCCAGCCCCGTTAACCTCTGTGTTCCCTTCTCTGCCCTGCGCCCCCCAGTACGTTACACTCGAGCAGCTGCAGGCGTGGCGGGGCAGCTGGCCCGCACCTGCCCCGGCGGCGCCGGGCCTGCCTCTGTGGGCCGCTGCCCGGGCCCGGGCCCCCACCACCTGCCTTCCTCCCGCGCTGCCCTCTCCCCCCTCCGCTGCTGCTGTCACGCCTTCACCCAAGGTGGGTGGTCTCTGTGTCCTGCCGCCCCCGGCCCACGCCTGGTGGCTCTGTCTGTGTGCGTTTTGCCCTTTCTCCCGGCTTCTCAGCTCTGGCAGCCTGGGGCCTGCTTGGCGCCTGTGGGCTCTGGCCGGCTGGCATCAAGGCTGGCGTAGCACGGTCTGTGGCCTGGGAGCTGTGGCCTGGGAGCTGTGGCCTGGGAGCTGTGGCCTGGGAGCTGTGGCCTGTTTGCTTCAGCTCTTAAGCACATTCACTGCAGCTGTTTTCTCACTGTTTTTCTCTTCCTCTCCTTTATGCACTCCTCTCTTCTCTCTCTCTCCCCTCCCCTCCTGTCCCAATGCCTTCTCTTACCCTTCCTCCAACTCCCTTCCCTTTATCCTCCTTTTCCTCCTCCCCCTTTTCCATCCCTCATTTCCTGGCTTTTCTCCTTCATCCTCCCTCCCTCCCCCCTGCCTCTCCCCACGCCCTACTTCAGATGGAGAAGCTGCTGCTCCCTGCTGTAGACTTAGAGCAGTGGTACCAGGAGCTGATGGCCGGGCTGGGGGCTGGCCTGGCTGCAGCCTCCCCTCGCTCCTCTCCCCCGCCTCTGCCTGCCAAAGCTTCCCGCCAGCTGCAGGTAACGCCCTCTTCACTGCCCTGCCCTGCCCAGACCGGGCTCCTCTGAGCCCCTCCTGCTGATCCAGCGATGGCACAGTGCCACCTTAAATGGCCAGCTGAGCCAGGGCAACCTCCGGCCCAGCCCGGAGGGCAGTGAGCACCTCCACACAGGCCATCCTGGCACTCAGAGTGACAAGCCAGCCTGTCCGCTGCAGGGGTCTGGAGCAGGGGTCAGGGTGGAAGCCCTCCCCTCATGCTGGGGTGCACAGTTGGCCTCTCCGCCCTTGGCCGTGCTCCACCCCAGAACTCTCACTCCGTCGGGGGCCTGACACACTGTTGGTCTGTCACAGCTGTCCTGGGACACCTGTAGCACTTTGCTCCCCTGGGCTAGAGATGACCCTTGGGGCCATACACAGGGGGACAGAGACTTTAACGTGACGGCCCTAAGGGCCCTTCCCGACTCCTCGCAGCTGCTTTGGAAGGCACAGGCCCGCTGGGGCCTGCTGCCAGCGTTTGGCCATGGGCTGGGGGAAAGGGACGTGGATAGTCTCCCCCAAGTCTCACTCCCCTGACTGGCTGCAGCGCCGAAGGTCCCAGCATTCAACATTTTCTGCTGGACTAAGCCATGACGCCGATCTCAGCTGAAACCCCACGTTCTGTGGGAGGAGGGAGTCCCCTGACGTGTGGCCCCTCTACCTGGCTGACTAGATATGTTTATGCTTTGATTCATTTACTCATCAGCAAGGCCTTTGGGGACACGCTTGTTCCCCTCTTACAGATGAGACACGAGGGCCCAGGAAGTGAGGTGTCTCTCCAGGGCCACACACCTAGGTAGCGCTGGGCCCTCCGTGGCGGTCAGGGTTCTGACTGCAGACACCACAGTTTTCAGTCTCGCCTCCCGCCAGCCCTTTACAGACGAGGAAGCCAAGGCCCAGAGTGGGGGTGCATGGCAACCGGCCACACTGGCTGCTAGTGGCAGACCTGGGGCCAGGGGGAACCCCAGCCTGCAGTTGGTCTGTGGCACGGCTCTGCCCGACACTGCTGACTCCTGCCTGGCTCAGCTTACAACTCCTTGCTGGGTGGACTTCAGGCGGAGTGGCCTGGGAAGTAGTTGGCAGCTGTCGCTGGCACCTGCCGTTGGGTGGCCCCGAGGCCAGTGCCGTCGTCACTGGAGACAGAGGCCTGGTGCCAGGCCGTGCCTTGGCTCGTAGCCAGCCTAGGGACCACGGGGTGATGGCCACTGGGAGGCCTGGGGCTCACCGGGCGCTGTCTGTCTCCAGGTTTACCGCTCCAAGATGGATGGTGAAGCCACCAGCCCCCTGCCCCGGACCCGCAGCGGCCCCCTTCCCTCTTCCTCTGGCTCCTCGTCCTCCTCCTCCCAGCTCAGCGTGGCGACCTTGGGCCGAAGCCCCTCCCCGAAGGTCTGGGGGCGGCGTGTGTACAGGCTGGGCGGTGGGATGGAGGGCTCGAGGCTGCCACGCCGGGAGAGGCCAGCCTCACTTGGCCCTGAGGAGGCTCTGGCCTGAGGGCTCCATTTCTCTGCAGAGTGCCCTGCTTGCCCAGAATGGCACAGGCAGCCTTCCGCGCAACCTGGCAGCCACGCTGCAGGACATTGAGACCAAACGCCAGCTGGCCCTGCAGCAGAAGGGTGAGTGGCCGTGTGGCGGGTGCCTTGTGCCCAGGGCCCTGCACGTAGTCTGTGCTGCGCTCACCCCTGCCCACACCTTCAGTTGAAGGGTAGAAAGAACTCAGATTAGCCACTCAGAATGTTCTGGAAGACGAAGGGCAGGGTCTCCAGGTGCTGGGGGGCGGGGAGGTGGTTCTCAAAGAGCCCAGGAAGTAGGGGACATGCTTGCCGACCTACGTAAGCATCAGCGGCGCCCTGTCCGGAGGCGGGGGTTGGCTTCACGGCCTCGTTCCCCGAGATCCTGGCCTGGGAACCAAGCGTCCTGGGTGCTGGACTACGTTGCGGTTGTTTTGAAAGCCATGTCTGTGCTCTCTCTCCTCTCCTCCCTCTGTGTCTCCCCCCACCCCCCGCCTGGGGCCCCCCACACCACACCAGTCGAGTTGGTTCCCGCCGAGCCCCTCCCAACCGACGAGCCAGCAGGTAGAGCGCAGGTCGTTGAGGGCCTGGCCCTGGCCAGGCAGCGCTGCCCGCTCCGGCCTCCGCATGGTGTCCCCAGGCGCCCGGCTGAGCTGGCCCGGGGTCTCCGCTGGCCTGGCCCGGAGCTGAGTTCTGTGCCGCCTCCACCGTGCTCCCGGTCGCCCCTCCTGCTGCTGTTGCTCCCGCTTCTGCGCTGTAGCTGGGTCTGCACGGACACCGGACCTCCGGGACTCCCTCGTCCTCTGTTCCCTGCCCAGCCCCAGCGGGCAGGGTGGGTGCATGCGTCCCGCTCACCTGTCCAGGCCGTGGAGCCCGGCCATCGTGCCGCCAGGGCTCCGCCTGGGCGGCTCTGTGTCCTGGGTGCGCTGGGGGTGCAGACAGCACGCTGCAGCCAGACTGGGCTCCCCGGGCCAGTCACGCAGGCTTGGCTGGGCCGCCGAACCTGGGGCTGTGGGGCCTCAGGGAAGCTGGTGGGGTGGCGGGTCCCCGTGTCCACCAGTCCTGCTTGGCTCTTCCCTCTGTCTGATGCTGCCCAGCCCTCCCCAGGTGGGTGGGTGCCCCCTGTGACTACCACCGCCCCTCTCACAGGGCAGCAGGTGATCGAGGAGCAGCGGCGGCGACTGGCTGAGCTGAAGCAGAAAGCAGCAGCCGAGGCCCAGTGCCAGTGGGATGCCCTGCACGGGGCGGCCCCCTTCCCGGCAGGCCCCTCGGGCGGCCCCCCCCTCATGCACCACTCCATCCTGCACCACCTGCCGGCCGCCCGGGCGCGCGGGGAGGAGGGCGAGCATGCCTACGACACCCTGAGCCTGGAGAGCTCGGACAGCATGGACACCAGCATCTCCACGGGCGCCAACTCCGCCTGCTCCCCCGACAACATGTCCGGGTACTGACCCCCCCACCCCACGGCGCCAGGGCCCACTCTGCCTGAGGCCTCTGCGGTTCCCGCCTGCACCCTGCCTGACCCCACCCCCACCGCCCCCCAGTACTAGCGGCCTGGACGTGGGCAAGATCGAGGAGATGGAGAAGATGCTGAAGGAAGCTCACGCGGAGAAGAGCCGGCTCATGGAGTCCAGGGTGAGGCCGGCTGACCGGGGCCCCGGAACTGCCCCCTGCACCCGCCTGCCCGCCCAGGGCCGCGCTCCCACCTCGGGGAAGCCCCTCTCCCCTGGCATCATTCCCCTGAGGAACAAAGTGTCTGGAAAGACTGTGTCCCTCCAGGTGGGGGTGGGGAGCATGGGGAGATTACAGGTCGCACAGCTTGTAGGAAAGAGCAGGCACGGTACCATTGTCCAGCCTTGGATTTCCTGCCGGGGAACGTCCAGGCTGTGTGTTTACTTCTGCCAGCATTTTGGCCGCCGCAGGCATTTTGATTGTTGTGCATCTGAGTGGCAGGTCATTCCTCTTGGGGGTGGTTAGGAAAGGCAGGAACTGGGGGCCGCGGGGTAGGGACAGAAGATGTCCCTTGGTGGGTGTCTGAAGCGGAGCAGTGCTGGCTGGGCCTCTGGGAGCGTGGCGGGGCAGAGGAGGTCACTTCCTTCACGTGGGCCTGGAGCTGGGCCCAGCACAGAGGAGCTGGCCACTTAGCCTGTGCACAGCCAGGCTGAGGAAGCCTGTGCCCGGGGAGGCCCTGGGGGGTCGGAAGTGCCGGGTCTGAGATAAGGGGGGACCCAGGGAGCAGCCGGCAGCTGGCCACCAGGGAAGAGCAGCTCTTGGTGGTGTGTGCGTGAAGAAGGGCAGGTCCACCAGGCCTCGGACAGATGGTGAGGGGGGATTCTGCTGTCTCGAGCCAGGGAGAAACGGCAAGTGGGAGTTAAAGGTACAGAGGTCAATATTGTTGGTGAAGACATAGAAGGCCACCACAGGCTCTCAATTTAGAGATTTCTTCTAATGACTAACACTCCTTTTATAATGGCTTTCATAAATTCATTTTTTTCCTGTAAAAATTGAAGTTCAACGACAAATGTCTCTAATTTGGAGTTTCAGAGGACCCTAGTGATTAGGGAAGTGGCTTATGTTGGTTGTGAGAAGAAGCTGCTCCAAGTTCGGATGCACAGGAGAGCCCCGTTTATTTATCGAGCACTTTGCTTCTGCTGGAGTGAGGGATGGGTCTTTGCATTCGAGATTCTGTTGTAGCTTCACAGTCCATCAGCACCCAGTTTAGAGAGTGTAGCTGAGGGTTAGGGAGTTTAAGAGATTGTCAGTCACCGATCTCTGGGTGGTGGCAGAAGGCCGCTGCACCAGGTTAAAGCACTGCATTAAACAAGCTCTCAGAAGCCGCCTCAGCACGAGTTCAATCTCTAGCCAGGGAGCTGACCCCGCATGGCGCGGCAGACCTCTCCTGAGCTGCCCGCTGCTCCCCTCAGCAGTGTGCTTCATCAGTCTGCCTGTTCTGCTCCCCACTCTGTCTCTGGTGAATCCTCTCACCCACCACAAATCTG